TTGCGTGGCCCGGAACGTATACTTCACTGTCCATGAGGTCAGAAGACATCCAGGGTTCAGTGAACGTGAGTACATCAGGATGGGAGTGGTATATTAGGGCCCCTACTTCACACATCTTGTTTCACAGACTACGCACATTCCTGAGAACTAGGTGAATACGTTTGGTATGGAAAGCCTGGGGTTGTGTGCTACCAGCCTGGGCTCTGGTAGGGCGGAAGTGGACCGCCGGCTCACCACCTAAAAGCCCACCAAACATAAACCTTTCTCACTAGCTTCGCGACGCGATTTCAGGTTTTTGATGGCGTTCTTAAGCTTTATCCTATCTGCTAAAGGTAGATCCGTCTGTACACTAACTCCGGAACCCTTTATTTTAAAGGCGTGGCGCAAAAGAGCTTGGCGCTCCTTTGGTGTAGGCAGGACCAGGCGTAATAGACGGGGTCTACATTTACTACCATCACCCGATTTGTTTCCAAGCCTAGTAAGTTTGCAAACAGTAACCCCAGAAAACCCGGGTGGAAAAAGATTAGAAACGCAAAGTTTGCACCAATGAAGATCGTCAAGCCTTCGATGTTTCGGAAGAGCTGCAGAGGACTCCGAGCTATTCCTAAAGATAACGCCGCTGTCCGTAAATGCATCACTACGACGAGGGGTGTTTACGGCACGCAGCACCGTAACAGTGGCCAACGCAGCGCTTCATTTCAAATCCTCCTTAGTAGGAACAGCAGATGCACAGAAGAAGGATACCGGCAAAGGATACCGGCGATTCGATTACGCAGAGTTGGACTCACTAGCTCAATAATAGTAGCAGCGAAGACCAAAACAGGCATTTCTGTAGAACAAACTCTAAAAGCTGCCCTCCGTTGGAGCTGGGCCAGACTGCAGGAGAGAGGGGTTGATCAGATTCGTGTGGTCGGTTATCAAACCGATTTGTATTCGATAAATGAGATATTGACACAGACTGGAATCTTTTGCGTTTACGTCTTCAAACAGAGGCTAAGCAATATTTCGATGAGAAAACCAAGGACCGTACGTAAACAATTTATCTCTTCAAACGCTGGTATACTGGACACTCTCTGAGCTGAGTTATTCCACGCATCCGAGAAGGAAAACTCAAGCGTTGCACCACGACAACCACGTCCTGACAAAGGAAGGCACACAAGAAATTCTGAGTATGTTGGTATTTCCAAGTACTTTTGGATCACAAGAAAACTGACAAAGCCAAATTTTCTATGTAGCTTCATTCAACTACTGTTCTCAAACCAGGATTTCAGTAAAGAATGTCTTCCTACCGAGCGCATGCTTGATGATCTTGGTTGGCTTAAAGTTTGCGTGCCCAGGCCTTTACCACCAGGTTTCCCTGGCGTTACGGTCAGGAAGCTCATCAGCTTGGGGAACTTTCCGGTTGGTCAAACAAATCAACGACCCCGTCTGCTTAGGGTGGTCCTCTCCACCTCAGAAGAGCGCAGGGCCTTACTGAGATTTGCCTTCAAGCTCAAAGGTACCAACGTTAGTGTGCAACCAGACCTTCCGTTAGCGGATAGGTTAAAGTTAAAGGAAGCCATCAGAGACCTAAAAGCCCGGCGTGCAGCTGGCGAGCAAGGTCTCCGATTGGTGGGTTTTCAGGTGGTCAGCCGGCGGTCCTTTTCCGCCCTGCCAGAACCTATTCTACTTGCGCACGACCCAGGGCTGGTCGTGCCGAAGCCCTCCAAGTAGTACTTAGTAACGTGCGTAGCCTGAGGAACAAGATGTGCGAGGTGGGTCTGCTCGTAGACAAATCTCGTCCAGATATACTTGCTTTCACTGAAACGTGGCTGTCTGAGGAAATCACAGATGGCGAAGTATATCTGCCTGGCTACGCACTGTTCCGCGCTGACCGCTCCACTGGCCGTCAAGGGGGTGGTGTAGCTCTTTATGTGAGTTATCACATCGACGTATTGAGGACCAGCGTTTTTCAGTCTCTCGACAAATCTGTTGAGGCTCTCGCAGTCTTGATTTGCGCTTCCTCGGTTTAGGTTACGGTCGTGTTAGTGTATAGAAGCCCTCAAATGGAATCATTGAGTTTATACGCACTCACTCTGCGAACAAGTGTCTGGTGCTGGGAGACTTCAACCTCCCAGAGGTTTGTTGGGATGATCTATCCTGCAGTTCGGCTCTGGAATCGTTCGGTACAGAACTGCTGAACTTGACGCTGCAGGTACCACTACACCAGTTCGTGGACCTCCCCACTAGGTACATGAGCAATCAGCAGCCGTCCATTTTAGACCTTGTTTTTGCTAAGTCACTTGACTTTGTAAATGACATTAAATACGACTCGCCTCTTGGCGCTAGCGATCACGTTTGCTTGTCTTTCCAGTGTGCTCTTATCAGGCCTTGCCAAGCTACTACCAGTTGGTATCCGAACATTTGGGCCGCGGACTTCCAAGCGATGCGGGTTGAAGCTAGGTCATCGCCTTGTGTGCTATCTGAGACCGATACTGTTCACATAGCCTGGGAAAATCTTAAGGCTCACCTCGTCGACATTTCTGCACCTCACATCCCACTGGTAAAAAGAAGGGAATCGAGAGCGCAGCCTCCGTGGATAGATTCCGCGGGGAAGGGCCTGCTAAAGAAGCGGTCTAGATGCTGCGAGCGTACCGAACAGCCCCGTCGAACAGCGTTTGACAAGTATCGGTTGGTTCGAAGTGAGTGCAAGCTGCGTGTTAGGTTGGCGCGGCTTCAGTATGAAAAGGGCTTAGCTAATACTGCCTCGAAAAATCCCAATAAATTCTTCGCTTACGTCAAACGACGCTGTGGTGCAAACTCGCCCATACCACCATTGCTTCGAGGAGATGGGACCCATGCCTATAGCGACTATGACAAGGCATGCGTACTTGGTGAGCAGTACTCAAGCGTCTTTGTCCGCGAAACAAATACGCCATGCAAAGAGTTAGCTACAAGAGTCTCTGAGGACTGTTATCTGGATGAAATTCCTGTAACTGAGTCCCAAGTTCTCCGGCTGCTAAGAGAGGTAAACCCAACTAAGGCTTCCGGGCAAGATTCTGTTCATCCAAAATTTTTGCACGAATTGGCAGTGGAACTCAGTGGACCTCTGACTTGTGTGTTTCAGAAGTCACTCAACAGCTCTGTTTTACCTACCGAATGGAAGGAGGCTGTTGTCTGCCCGCTTTTCAAGTGCGGTGACAAAGACCTACCGGCTAATTACAGGCCTGTCAACTTGACTAGCATGGTCGTTAAGTTACTTGAAAAATTGTCGACAGTGGAGAACCATTTAAGTAGGTTTAACCTGTTTTGCGTCGAGCAACATGGTTTTCGCAAAGGATTTTCGTGTCAGACGAACTTGCTGGTAGCTCGTGAGTGCTGGGCTGAAGCCGTAGACAGTGGACATGCGGTGGATGTGGTGTTCACTGACTTCGCCAAGGCCTTTGACACTGTTCCCCATTCGCGACTCTCACTGAAGTTGAGGTCGTATGGAATAGCTGGTCGCGCTCTCCAGTGGGTGTCAGCTTTTCTGGATGGACGGGAACAGTGTATTCGTGTGGGAAGCAGTCTTTCGTTTCGACAAGCTGTACTTAGCGGCGTTCCGCAAGCCTCTGTCCTAGGTCCGCTGCTTTTTTCTGTCTACGTAAATGACTTGCCGGAGGAGCTTGAGGTACCATCGCTCTTATTTGCTGATGACCTAAAGCTCTGGAATATTGTTGATATCCCTGGAGGTCTTGTGTCTCTTCAACGGGCTCTGGATAGACTCTAGGAATGGTCTGTCTTGTGCTTGCTGCCCATAAACCGGGCAGTGTTCAGTGCTGCGTATCGGAGCGTCTGCTTCCTCCACAAGTTCTGTGCTCAATGGGAGTGAACTTCCTCACGTGACTCATCAGGTTGATCTAGGTGTCGTCCACTGTTCCACACTACACTCTGGCGACAACTGGAAGGCGGCTAGTAAAGGGTTCCGGATGTTGTGGTTTATCCGTCGTTCTTTCGGGACCCTAACCGCTGATGTGTTTGTGAAGCTCTTCTCAGCGTTTGTGCGACCCCACCTAGAATATTGCGTCCAGGCCTGTCCATCATGCATTGTCCGGGACAAAATGGCACTAGAAAGGGTGTTGCATGTCGGTACTAGGTTGGTCAAGGGATTACGAGGGCAAACGTAACCCGAGCGCCTACTTAGTTTGGGTATGCAGTCAATGCGCTATCGAAGGATTAGAGGGGACCTAATCCTAACCTACCGTATTTTGATTAGGAAGGTTGGCCCTGATTTGTCCATGCTATTTAGTCCTGCTAGATTATCTGGTCTCCGCGGGCATTGTGCGTAGCTGGACAAACCGCGGTCCGATCGAGTTAGAGCGGAGACACGGTTATCACGTCGAGTCATCGAGCGTTGGAACCTGCTTCCAGAAAATGTCAAGGAAGCTACGGTTAAGGGGTTTGAGCGTCAACTAGACGCTCTTGGGTGGCAACACGAAACCTTTCCTTTTCCTGACTAATTCCCATCTTCATATTTCGATTCTATTTTCTTTACTTTTCCTCGCCATTGGTATTATTCTCTTCTTTTAACTGATTTCCCCTACTCTCTTACCTTCGCTTTTTCTTCCTCTCTTACTTACTTCACGTAACTGACATAGCTGGGACAGCTAATGTAAGGAACGTGGGCATTAAATTGGTGGACCAGGGTTTTTTCGGGTGTTTTCATTTTAGACCCATTAAGAAGTCGGAGCACCTCTATCAACTCCTGGATCGTCGACCCGCTTAAGAAGGAATACTTACGGGATTCATCCTATCGTTTCAGTCCCACTTGAACACGAACTTGAACGTGGAAACACGGCAAGCACGCCGTGACCTTGAAAGTTGAAGTCGAGTCTCATAAACACGATACAATTTGCATTTGTGCTGATCCGTTTAATGCTTGCTCAGAACTACCCGGCGTAGACTTTCTCAACTTACAATGAAGTTCGCCATATGAACAGCCACAAAAGCGGCTAATCCAAATGAACCAATCGTGTGGCAATTCACTGTTCGCCTATGAAGGTCGGTTTTGGATATGCCCAACCGTAGGAAAAATGTGGATTCGAACCGAATCAAACGTTCGGCAAAGAAAACGAGACTTTCTGACTACCTTTCTTCTGCGTAGGCCTCGAAATCAACATAATTCTTTTAGCTATGTGCAATACTTGGTAATATTCTTGATATGGGGCGCCTTGCTCTTGATCAACCAGTCTACGGAAATGCGCTTTGAGTATTTTTGGCCAGGGTGGCTTTTTATTTGCTCGATTTACGATTCGTTAAAGTATCAAGGATTGGTAATTCCAAATTTCTTTAATCTTTCTGGCAGCAATATACAATTGTCTTCATCATAATTGTTGTAACAATGGATCTGATTTGCTTTTTTCTTTTCCCTCCTTCTTGGATTTACTCCTGTGGAAGCGCATACGTATGGGTTTATTTGCTTTGGCACACAGGTAACTTCGCATAACCTTTAATCCTAACGCTTCAGATCAGGGATTGTGTTTTCTTACGCTGGCCTTCTGTTTCATCTTTGTATACTTTGAAATGGGTTTCTACTCAAGAGAAACTCGACTAAACCACAGCATTTACTTATTTCGGCCTTTTGCCGCACACAGTATCGGATACCCCGTAGTGTGTATGGGGTTCTCTATTAAACGATACCTTGACGTCCGCCACAGAAAGGTTACTTTTGCTATGTTGACGCTATTTGTTTTAGTTCAAGGAACTGGACGTTAGAAGACAAAATAATGTGTACTTTCGGATCTTACGAGATGCGGTGCCGTGTTCGGCGATTGCCGACTACTCTGGTAGTCCCCGTTTCCTACACGTAACTTTAGCAGGTCAATATTCCTCCATTTATCTCCCGGATAGCATTATTGAAACTCCTTGTGCCGACGGCTATGATGTAAGTTTAAGGTAGCCTATGTATCGTATTGCATTGACCATGTTCGACAAGCACATTTTATATGTTCCGCAATACGATTGACCGAGAACATCATCTAGAGTGACCGTTGGAGCCCACTGAGTTCTTTTCTCATGCTTATAGCTGTCCCAGTGAAACGCATATAAGATTCGTTTCGGTCCTACAGAAAAACTGCAGTCTTAGAGCTTGACGTACCATCGCTGTGTAATGTGGACGTCTTTGAGGTCCTAAGGCCAACGTGTCTTGGATAAGATTTTGGACTGGTCTACTTTATAGCTATTGCCCATAAATAAGGCAAAATGCTCCGTTATTTGAATTGGAGGTTGTGCTCCATCCAGGTACTTAGTCGGTGGGGTCAAAGTCACCCGCGTATCCAGCCACATTGATCTAGCCGTAGTACACTGTTTTTACACTCGGGTGACAACTTGAAGAAAGCCCCAATCAGTTATCGCATATTGTGGCTACTACACCGTTCCTTCGGTAACTTGACTGGAGAACTCTTTGTGAGACTGTTTTCAGCTTTCCTTCGGTCTAATCTGGGATACTAAGCCTCTGCCTCGTTCGGGACAAAATGGTGCTAGAGACGGTTTTAGAAGTTATTGGTTAAGGGGGCAGACGTACCCCGAGCGTCTGCTTAGTCTTAGATTGCATTCAGTGCATTACCGCATCTTAATTTGGAAGGTTGGCCCAGAGTTGTCTTGGCTGTTCAGTCCCGTTAGCTTGTTGTTCTCCATGGTTAATTCATGAAGCTGGACATACCGTGGTCCGGTCGCATTATGACAGAAATTCGGCCTCCACGCCGTGTCATCGAGTGCCGGAACGTGCTTCCGGAAATTTTTATCAGGCAATCTACGGTTAAGGGCTCGGCTTGACGTTCTTGGGTGGCAATACGTCTTCATACTTCGATTTTCTTTCCTCTACTTTTTTCCTGCATTGAGACTGAGACTGTATTTAAGAGCAAGTAGAAACGTTTCTGTACAACTCTATCGAATTACGAAAAATCAAAATTTACTTGTGAATTATCAGCAGTTGTGTCTGGTCCGTTAATCGTTTATCCGTGTTCGGTTAGAAATTTGTACTAGCGTTATTATTTCCGGACATACAATGTCTTCTTTTGGCACTGTATGTGCATCGTTTCACAAAAGCACAGGTTTCCAAAATAATCGTCGATACGGGTTTTAAAACACTTCACAGAATCGGCCTCTATTAATCCTCCACGTAGTGTATTCCAAAAGTTTACGATTCTTCGTTCGATACAAAGCTGATGTGATACTTTGTTCATGCTGGGGACCCTAAGTTTGTAACGATGTCCTCGGGTGTTACAGGGTTCTCGCAGGTGAAATATTGGCCGCAGTATGGGGAAGTGGCTCAAGTGTAGTACTCGATGGGTCATAATAAGATCAATTCTTACTCGGCGATAGGATAGTGTGTAGAGTCCGAGCCCTTCGCAACGTTTTTCATACGGAAGCTTTCGTAGACTTGGTATCATTCTAGTTGCGATATGCTGTATTTTCTCCAGCTTTTCAGTTTCCCATTGAGTTATCGGATGGTAAGCTGGGGCACCGTATTCAAGGATTGGTATAATCCACTTATTCCAAGTGACCTTTCTTATTCCGTACCTTCTATTTCTATCCCTGACTTACTCCACGTGACTAGCATGGTCTGCTAGTGTGATACGGATCCTCCGCTTTGGATCCATCAAGATCTCCGAGCACTTCATCAATTCCTGGCTCAACGACCCGCTCAAGAAGGAATGCTGACAGGATTCTCCTGTCGTTCCAGTCCCACCTGAACTGGCCCGTGGCAATAGGGATCACATGTTTGCCTTGTGATCCCGAGGTCGCGGGATCAAGCCTGCATAAGGGACTGCGCGACCCTCACATTATCCTTAGCCCTTGCGCGACTGGTTGTGATTGCGTGGCAACGGAGTACTGCTGATGCTCTTAACATATATCATGAATGCCTTTTTCCTGGCTTCAAATACCGCCAACAATAAACGAAAATCGCTTCCCAAATCGGGATTACACAACACCAAAACCGCTAGACCAAACTGAAAATTTTTACGAAACCTGGAATTCGTCCCAAATGTGTCCCACTGGAACCGCCAGGGGCACAATAAGCAGCCACTCCGCCGCAACCTGTCGGTCACTCGCGCCGACTGAAAGTACGATTTCATCAAATGGTAGAGACTTATAGACAAACACCATTTCTTTTCGCTTCTGCGAGTGACTAAGTGAGGACTGGCCATCCATCTTTGCGGACTGGGCGGTACCCGCCTTCGTCGCTTTGGTTTCGCTGCTCTCTTGGTTTGGGTCATTGACTAATGGGTCAGCTGTACGCCGTAATGGCGCTTCGCTGCCGCGCGACCACCACCGTCGCAGCGAGACTGGACCTTAACGTGGTGCGACGGTTTGCGTACCTCATTGACCCATTGAGCTATACTGGGTGATGCCTCCGAGCATCTTGAGAGCTACTCCTACCAGGTTGGTCAATGGTGAGAGGTCAGACAAACTCAGTCTCCTGGTCCTCCAGGTTGGGGGTTTGAAATGGGATGGCGTCCATTTCTGTAAAACTAAATCACTGCCACCCCGCTGCCTTGCGGACAGGCTTTTGAGCCAAAGGCTTTGGATGAGGACCCTAATCGTTCTCCTGTCTAGGTCTGGGCGCCCTGGCAGTATCCCAGCCCACATACAACCATGACATTTTCTTCAAACATAAACTTCATCCTGCATCGGCCGTCGCGCAGATTATCAAGGGTCGCCTTATCTGCTGCATACAGCAGGGCGGATAAGCGAAAGCATGCTACTGCTGGCGCCTCCCTTCTTTCTTTTCCACCTTTTTCTCTTACTCCCATCCCGGCCCCCATTACTAACCTTCCTTCTATAATTCCCAGCTTAATTGACAGCAACCGAAGTGCTACTGGAGTAGAACCATCTGCAGCCACCATCCCACAGCACCTATCGGACGCCTATCGGCAAAAGTCCCTTATAAGACCACGCTGTCCCGTTTCCATGGCGACCTTCAACGTCCGCACTCTAAGACAAACAGGTCAGCAGGCTGCACTCGCACGCACCTTGGACACACTGGGTGTTGATGTGTGTTGTGTGTCCGAAACTAGGATTAATGACCCTAACGGGGTTATTGAATTGACTGCACCCGGCTTATCCTCTCGTTATTGGTTGCACGCATCCGGAGACGCCGATGCGGCACTCACCGGTCAAGCTGGTGTAGGTATCATTCTCAGCTCCAAGGCTGAGTTATCGTTGATTGATTGGATTCCGGTGAACAGTCGTTTATGTGCAGCCCGTTTGACGACATCAGCTAAGGTGAATTCGCGAAGTAAAACAAAACGCTGTTTGTTTGTGATTTCTGCTTATGCTCCCACGGACTGCAGTTCTAATGCAGTCAAGGACACTTTCTATCACGAACTGAACACGCTGCTACGCAGTGCTACTAGTTCAGATATTATAGTACTTGCAGGGGATATGAACGCACAAGTAGGGCGTCTGAGCTCTTCAGAAGCTCAGCTGGGTGGTAAGTATGGACTTAACTCCGAACGGACTGACAACGGCGAGCGTCTGCTGCAACTGTGTGCGGAGCACCAGTTGTTTCTTACTAGCACTGCTTTTAGACACAGTGGGCGCCGAAGTGCCACTTGGCGTCCACCTGTAGCTGGTCAGCGATGGACCCAAATTGACCACATAGCCATAAGTTACAGGTGGCGCGGTTCCATTCTGGATTGCCGCTCGTACTGGAGTACCTGTGTCGACTCTGACCATGCCTTGGTGCGCTGTCGTTTCTCCATGAACTTTACCGGAAGGCGCACAAAGCGTCTCCCCCGATTGGCAACGGAGAAATTGTCCCAGCCCTCTGTCAGGCAAGCCTATCAAGAAGCACTGCATAGCGAACTCTCGCTGTCTTGTCCTAATGATACTGAACTTCAGTGGAATAAGATCTCGGCCACTATGCACGACGCAGGAGCATCTGCTTGTGGCACTATCAGTCGTCATCGCACCAGTCACTGGATATCCGAGAGGTCCGTGAACCTTTTGGAAGCTAGAGGCACCTCCCGGCTGGTTCTGAACACAATGTGACCAGACGGGCTATTAGGCGTGAACTAAAGCGGAGCCTACGTGCTGACAAGGAAGCCTGGTGGACCAGTCGGGCTCAAGAAATGGAGGAGGCAGGAGCAGTAGGCAATTACCGGAAGCTCTTCCAGCTAATACGCACCACTGGTCCGAGAAAACCAGGCGTCAGTGAGACAATCAGGGACAGCGCGGGTGCGCTGATACACAATAAGCAGCGCCGTATGGCTCGTTGGGCTGAACACTTTGAAGATCAGTTCAGCTGGCCCCCTGCTCCCGGACCTCTTCCTACTCAGGTGATGCAGGACGAGCCATGGACGGTTAGTTTAGAGCCTCCGTCGGAGGCCGAAGTCCAAAACGCGATCACAGCCCTTAATCGTTTTCGTGCCGCTGGCCCGGATTCCCTACCACCTGCACTATTTAAGGATGGTGGTGAGGTCCTCTGCAAAGCACTGACCTCCCTATTCGAACGTATCTGGAACGAAGAGAGTGTGCCGGCTAATTGGAGCGAATCGATTATAGTGGCAATATACAAGAAGGGCAGTCGCACAGACTGTGCGAACCACAGGGGTATTAGCCTAACGCCAGTTGTGACAAAATTACTGGCCTCGATTCTCGTTCGTCGCCTCACTGCAGAACGGGAATCTCGGATTGGGAAGAGCAGGCCGGTTTTCGCCCAGACGTGGCTGTATAGACCATATATTTACTTTGCGGCAGGTGCTAGAGCAGCGCCACGCATACCGCAGACCGACAATAGCTGTGTTCCTCGATTTCAAGAGTGCATTCGATTCAGTCGATCGATCGATTCTGTTCGAAATACTTGCGCGGAAAGGTGTTCCCACGAAATATGTGAACATCCTTCGTGCTCTATACTCGAACACTAGAGGCTGCGTCAGG